TTCATATAGATGTATGGGCATACCACAATAGATATGATTAGGATCGAAGTTATATAGGGCAAGGTGGCAATGGCCTCCGTGACAGACAAGGTGAGGGGAGCAAGACTGAGATAATTTGATCATATGAAGAGAAGGTGTGAGGATGCGCCAGTAAAGAAGGGTGAGAGGTTGGTTGCAACAAAGAATTACGAGAGGTAGGCCGAAAAATAATTAAGGGAAGGTAATTAAGTAGAACATTGCACAATTTCAGCTAACTAAGGACATGACTAAGGTAGAAGGTCAGTAGGTAGGTGTTATCACACTTTGTGTGGGAGAGGCATGGGCTAGCCCCCTCCTCTCATCTTCTCCTTTTTAGTAGTATACTAGTATTATTTAGTAATCACATAGTTTCTAATTCTTTATTGTATATTAGTAATGTTGGTTTGTATCTTGCTATTTTATTGTCATATTTTTCTAGCAATCCTGCGTCAAAACTTGTGTACTAGTATGCCATAAATTTGATTGATTAGTTTTTGACCTAACTCAAATATTATGACGAGTACTTCTCATATGACCGGAGGGTCTATCAAAAGTAACCTTTACGCTATACAAAAAGTGGATAAGATTTGCGTACATCCCACCCTCTGAGACCCCACATGTGGGATTGCACTGGTTGTGTTGTTGTAATCATAGTTAAGTAACTACATTTAGTTATTTAAACTATATCGAATCATCTTATGGTCAAATAACTCATCATTCATCAATTTGTGCTTGTATCCTTTAAATTTAGTAGCAAGTATATTTTAATATTATTTGTATCATTCAAAAAGTTTATATTGATTAGCATAAGATTTATGCATGTATATGATGTATATACTTTCCTTAAATGCCCCTGAAAGAACATAAGCAGGAACATATTGATTAGAGTTTGTCTTTCATCGTCGCTCAATGCTCCTTAATTTCTTCCACTGCCATTCAACCTTTCTTAATTCACGTATATATTATCGCCACTATTTACTCTCTTTAAGTGCCCCCAAAAGAACATACAAGAACATATCGATTAGAGGACTTTTTTTGTCTTACATTGTCGATCTGTTCTCCTTTTTTTTTCATTGTCGCTCTATACTCCTTTTTTGTCTTTCAATGTCGCTCCATTCTCCTTTTTGTCTTTCTCCACCATTCAATTCTCCTTTCTTAATTCACTTCCTTGCGATATATATATATTATCACCACTATTTACTTTCCTTAAATGCCTCTGAAAGAACATACAGGAATATATTGATTAGAGGACTTCTTTTGTTTTTCATAGTTGCTATATTCTCCTTTTTGTCTTTCACTGTAGCTCCATTCTCCTTTTTATCTTTCACCGCCATTCAATTCTCCTTTCTTAATTCACTTCCTTGTGATATTAATTAGCAAGACCCAATATATATATATAGAGAGAGAGAGAGAGGCCTTCTTCTCATAATCTAAATAGATCGACTCTGATGAATATTATGAAATAATCAAATCTTTAGAATAATATATCTACTAAATGGAGGATACCTACTAAGCATTTGAAAAAGCCGATATTATATCACTACAAGGTTCAGCACCTCAAGTTCTCTAATATCAAAATGAAGCGAAAATCTTTCTAAAGATCTGCATATCCTGCTCAAAACAGCATGAGTACACACAAAACCCTGTCAAAGAAATCTAGGGGAGCCATCAGTCTAAGCTATGATTACCTTCAAGTTCAGTTAGGCGATGCTGGATATGGCTTCGGAAACGATCTTCCTTTAATTTTGTCAAACCAGAACCTGATGTATAACTTGACCGTTGGCTCAACAACGACTCCTCTAAATCTGCCATCAGGTCTCCATAACTTCCCATTCCTGGACCATTCTGCATAAAAGAAAAACAAATTGATAGCATTAAAAGCTAATTTAAAAGGCATAATATTAAAAAATGACCTCTTTCTTGATGCAAATCAATCATGCTTCAGATCCCAAATAAAACGAATGAATAAAATATATTTTGAACAATCAGATATGTTTCATCACTTCAAATTATGCAAATATTAAAAACTGTAGAAAAGAAAAAGGTCCTCCTCTTTTTAGATGGAGGAGAAAAGTTCCTCATAAACAACATACCTAGTTCTTCATGCTAACACATACAAAAATAACATATCAATCAACAAAGAACAAACTGCATAAATTTATACTTCGCAACTCAATTTGTTACTCCCCTCAGTCCACTTTTACTTTTCCAATTTGGAAAACCAAGAGACAATTTATCACTTAGTTCCTAATTTACCGTTGTTATTAACTATAGTCATTTTCCAATATATTGAATTTACTAAATTTGAAAGGGTGATAGAGTAAAATTATCACTATTTATTGCTCTTTAAGGATTTTTCAAGTCAATATTAGACAAGTAAAAATGAACAAGGGTATTATCTTTTAACCAAATAACCTCACCTTTACTAAAAGGACAACAAAAATGTATCAAGCCCTAGTTTTTTTTTCTTCTCTAAATCTGACAAGATCATACTCTGTGACCATGTATCTACATCTAGCATCTAAAAGTAAGTGAACTATAAGAACATTCTTCTACAATTTACTCTAATTCAACCAGATTCAAATTTTTTAAAAAAAAAACATAAAAGAGAGATTACTCTCAATGAGAATTTGTATAACGAAACCAAAGAGGAGAAACAACTCACTTGCACAGACAAACTGTCCACGTCAGCAGGGGATGCATCTCCGTCACCGACATCAACATCGTTGGCGTCGCTATTGTAAATTGAAGAGACAGCATCGAATACGTCAGGAGGTATCGGAAGATTACGTGAGAGGAAATTGAGAGCACAAATCAATGTCTTCGTCTTCTCTAACTGTTCCTGCGATTCATCAACGGGAGGGGAAGAACCTCCAACCATTCCTCCTCCTCCTCCTCCTCCACCACCGTCAGCGGCGGCGTTGGTCTCTATCTGAGCCACCATGAGTCCTCCCACCGGTGCTGTCAGGCTTAACAACAGCGCGCGAAGAGGACTGTTTTTGTATTTCTTTTTGGAGAATTTGAATTTTTGTTAAAAACTATTAAACCAAAAACTTAATAAACGAGTCTGCCCTTTTCTTTTTCCCCTTCTTATCTCTCTTCTCCCCAAACCCTTTCTATTCGACTCGCTTTGGGTTTTCTTATTTCTTAATCGATCAGATAATGTTAATTTACTCAAAACTCCCTCACCGAATTCTCTAATTCCCCTCACCTCCTTTGTGACCTAAATGACTATATTACCCCCCCTTCTTTTCCTTTTACGACTAAGATTGTGTAATACTAATACAAACAATTAATTAATTTAATATTTTCTTCAATAATTTTCAAATTTGGAGTGATAATATAGCATACTCAAATTTAAAAGTAGATAAAGTCATTTATAATGCTTAATCAGGGTCATCTTAATTCCTAGACTTATTATAAAGGTTATTTTTTAATTAAAAAAATTGTATATAGCTTATGCTATGATTTTCATCTAGAAAATTGCATATGAGATGAAAATAGAACTTGAATTTCGTATGAAATAATTTGATGAAAATACTAATATCGAAATTATAAAGTCCCTTCAAGTTAGAGTTGATTATTTCATATATAGTAGATCTTATTTTTTTCACTTCAAAAGAGATTTGAGCCAGACATATATAAATTGTGTCATATATGATATATACTAGACTGCTTAGTATTTTTAAAATGAATGAATGACTAGCCCTATATTATTCTTTATTAGTATATAATACATAGTATACAACGTATTAGAAAAAAAATAAGTGAAAAATATAATAATTACGTATGAAGAGCTAGAAGCGATTCCTAAAAAAATTATAATGAGCATGTTTAAAGTCATTAAATGACGATACCTAAGAGTATATGTTATATACCAATCATAGTATACTATAGCTATATACTTCAACTACTACTGATTTGCATTATATGTTAAAATAAATTAGTTTTATTATAATTGACATAAAAAAACATTATATCAATAAAATTTTTTATTGATATAATATTCATATAAATTCTTATGTAAAAAATATGTGTATTCCGAAAAGGGAAATTATTTACAAACGATTATCCCTTTACTGTCATACCATTTTGTTTTTAACGACTAATTCACATTTACTATATGATACAATCAAAATATATATACTCTAATAGTATTAAAGGGGAAACTTAACTATTAATTTGCATTTACTACACCATCAAAGTGTATATATACTTTAACGGTATTAAAGAGGAAGAAGTGAAAACACTATTTAATGACTCCTTAATATCATTAATATATATAGAGTTAGATATAGATACACACACTCACTCTAATGATATTAAGTAAGAAGAGATAATATTTCAGTGAATAGAATAAGAGGGATAGCCAGATAAACAGTTTGAATTGTATAGACAATTTTCAAAACACGAGTGATAGGTAAAAAAAAATGATATAAGTGAAAATTAAGCAACAAAAAAAAAGATTCTCAAGCATACAAGTTCCTTCTTAACAAGCTACGGCCCATTTTCCCTACTTAAAACCCAATGCCCCCTACCCGTATAAACCATTCTCTCAAATTACTTGAATCATCCATTGAAGCCAACTAGTTCAAATAATCATCAATCTCCTCTCTTTGTCCCCCAAATCCTCTCTCCAATCAAATGAAACAAATATGAAAATTTCGTTGACCAAGTCAATAAGATTTATATAGGTCCATGTCCAACCTTTAATTTGGTGCAAAGGAACTTATTCAATTCTAGTAACTCCCATTATAAATCTTGGGTAAGGTAGCAAGTGATACAACAAAGCTCTTGATGGAAACTTTACCCTATTCCCTAATTCTAATTAAATGAATTTAAATAAGTCTATTATTTAAAAAAATTAGGCTCAAAATATCATGTCAACTAGGAGATAAAAAGGAGACTTTTAAAGTGTTTAGTATTTTTTTAAGAAAAATGGTGATAGTTGAGTAATATTTATATTCTAAATGAAATAAAAGTGATATATCAACAGCAGAATATTTATATAATTCCCGTTGAATTAAAATTCCCATCATTTTATGTTTACATGAACTATAGAATGGAACTCAATAAAAAGAGGTCAACCAGTTCAACTGAAATCCAGCGTACCGAACTCCAAAGTTCAATTCATGTTCACCTACCATTTGTGTCAAAAAATGGAGTACATACAGTCTGGTCAATTCAGCTCATGGTACAAGCACCTCGAGTTCCCTAAAAACCAGGAGGAGCCACCACTAACTGCAATAACTTGTGATTTCCTTGCTTAGAAATATCTTCAATATCTGAGCATAGGAGAGGCCATACAGATAGACTTGTGTATCCAGGCTTCTTCAGACGATTGGTAATGTCAGAGGTACTAAATCTTCTGCAGAACATTGTTGACTGGCTCTTGTAAGTATTGCAGACAAATCAAGAGGGCTTCCTGTTTGTGTTAAAAGGTTGGAAGTACAATTAGTCGACACCTTCACTGGTAGCAGAAGAGTTACTCTAATGTAGAAACTTAAGATAACATACACATACAAGAAAGCTGAAATAAGTACCTCCGTTCGAATTGTCCTGCTTCCTTGATGTGGACATGTATTCAAATATAAATCAAATACCTCCTTAGCACTTTTCCCCTAAACAGTAGAAAATCAAGTCAGCTCATCTTTTCATCTACTCCCACTGCACACTTTTTTTTTGAGAAAGGTAACATACTGTAATTTTCTATTACTTGAACTCTAGCAGTTCATGTCATGGAATATCAAAATGACAAAATATGGCCACTTAACTCTCTCTGTATATATGAATATGGCCTCTTAATTCTATATATATGAATATGGCCTCTTAATTCTATATATATACACTCCAAGTTGATCCAAAGAGTAAATAGGAGGAAGTGCGAATTAGGAGATAGTCACGGAAACTACCACTTGCCACAGAAAAAATGTTTCTATTTTCATTAAGTTAAAAGGATATAATTTAGAAAAATCTAACCACAGTAACACGTACATACTTGGTTTCACCATAGAAATTCAAAAACTTGGAGACTTGGCAAGTCCCCATTAAAAAAGTTTGCATAAATAGTACCTTTAAGTTATTGTCTTCTTCTATACACTCTTCCAACCCCGCCAGTCCACCAAAAGCAATTAGCAGGTGCCTAAAGATTTAGAGAAACCAATACAAAATCCAACAGCATTAGTAGATAACACAAAATATAAAGCCAATAACATCACGGTTATAAGCCAGTTACATGAAAAGTATTCAGGAAAGGAAATAAGAAAAACATGGAGCAATTATGCATTTCTATTTAATGTGTTGATATAACGAGAGCAATATGAATGTTAAAGATATGAACATAGTTTATAACTCAAAGATATATATGAACAGTTAAGAAATGAATATTGCGCCTAACCCAATCTGTGAAGCTACCACATTAAGGAGACAACAGTAACCCATACCCTCAAGCAATATTGGACACTCTAACACACAAAAGCCGCACGCCCATGGCAGGACCATCTGGAATATGGACCATGTTACATAAGATCCCAACATACATTGGGTAAACCAAGAATACGGATATATCTAACCCTGATACCTTGTTAAAAATATAGACCTTGAACCTTATCTCAACTCTAAAAGCTAGCTAATAAAGTGAGAGGAGACAACCTATATCAGTCACACCATCTTGAACACTCTAACAAGAACAGTTACCAAGATTGAAGAAAAGGATCCTGGTTGCTGAGCTTGATAAGTTTTAAGTTGTGAATTGGTAACCCCCCACCCCACTCCACCCCCAGCCCCCAAAGAATGGAACATATAAATAGAGAAATAGAAGATGATAAATTTTAGTAGAAAAAATTTGGGTTATGACTTAGTTTAAAAGGTCAGTATGCCAGACCTATTTGAGTGACAAAAGAGCCGAAAACATACATACAGAAGCAGTAAATGTCCTGCAGTGAAAATTCAGCACAACACAAATGGCAATTTAAAACATTTACTATGCTATCAAGTCCATACAGTGGAGTTATAGGTTCACTTTCTTTTCCTGGAAGTCATTGCTGTGAAATGGCTTGGGTTTCCACATGGTCAAAATGCATTTTAAATTAGCATTATCCAATAAAAAAAGTGAGATGGAAGTGCTTTCCGAAGATCATTGGGTCTAGGAAGTAGGAATACACTGACTATCCATTGCAGAACAACAGGAGGGTGACTACTAATTGAGAACTATTACTGTAACAAAAGGGGGGTGACTACTTGCACACAAATATCAAGAACGACTATCGAAACATACCTGAATGATGGGAGAATCAAATCTGAGGACTTCATTACAAGGCCATGCTCGGAGGTACCAATCAAGTGATCATACCCTCCCTAATCAAACAAGAGATGTTACACAGTAACTATTTATGCATTGCTTCTCAAAAAGGGGTTCAACACAAAACCCAAATACCTTGTATGGGCAATTCTTGAATACAGAACTGATATTTGGAGCATATCGTACTTTATATCCCCAATACATCCCTGCATCCTCCATAGGTGTTGAAGAAGAGACAACCTGATGTGGTATGCCTGAGAATTGAAACGTGGAATTGTGAACTTAGATAACTAACAGTCATGTTAGGAAAAAAACACAGTTCCTGAGGCAGTCTTTTGTGTGTGAGATAGTTCTCTGGAAATATTACTATAAATAACGAATCATGTAGGCTACTTCAATAAATATGAGAACTCAAGGATTTTGTTACATTACAGCACATTGTGTTGGGGTTAACTATAAACTATATTGAAGTCTACAAACATTGAGAAGGTGCCCTTTCAAACATCATATATCCGTGTGGCGAAAATGAGAGAATAAATGTTCAAATAAAAGAGAGTGAGGAGAAAACATGTCTGTACCAAAATTATCAACAATGCAAAAACAGATTTCATTCAATCAGATAATTCATAAAAACTTCCTAGCCCTAGGTAGTCAAAATAGGAATAAAATTGGAAATTGAAGTAATAACTACTGCTGAGAGGAAGCAAGATATACAGCTATAAAAGTCGTATAATTCTGGTAAAAACCTGAGTCCAAGTTTCTCTCTGCTCCCATGGATACTGTTACCCTTATTCCTGGGGCAATGACTTGATCAACTGCAACAGGCTGCAAAGTACTAGCAATGTGAACAGTTGGCCAACTCACACAAACGTATAATTATAATAAAATATACCAGCAATATTTCAATGTCTTGTTTTATCTTTTTATTAAGAACAAGATCAACTCTGTTTATCAAGACTACTGACATCAGCAAAATGCTTTTGGGATGCAGCTCTAGTAGTTTACTAGAAGAGGAAATAAAATCCCAACATGTTCAAATAGAACATTTGGTTTTCAAGTGAGACACCATCTCGTCAGCGAGTACGGAAATAGAGAGGCAGCAACAGCCCTTTGAAAAACAAAGGACAAAGGAAAGAGCAATGAACACTGCATGCAGCGGCCTGAATCTGATCATACAGTGTTTCAACTTCATGATTGAACATCTGGCCATGTGATCCTTAAAGAGTGATAAAGAATCTATACTGAGCTTTACATTCCTTAAAAAGTGATAAAATAATCTACACTTAGTTTCACATTAATCAGGTTATCAAACCACATTGGCGGTCCATGATCCTACTTTTCTAGCAAACTTTATACTTTGAAAAGGAAAGAGCTTGGGAATGGTAAAGTTCTACCTTTTGAGAGCAAATGAAAATCAATAACTGGAAAAATAATAACAATACCTCACAAGTTCTCTCTGTTTTCATTTTCATAATCCATATCTCAATACCATTTTACCAGTATCTTCAAACTCCATTCCAGGTCAAGTTGATCTGCTTCATATCTAAGCCCATCTTATCATTATTTCATTAACACAATGATTACAGAGGGAGCACTATGAATTCCCCGACAAACCAATCACATCCTGGGAAAAAATCCACATACTATTGTTTTTTTTGGTAACTAACAGCCCAGATATGTTGTACAAGGGATTCCCAGCATCTTGCAGAAACAGTATGTAATGCAGAATTTGAAGAAGAGTATTTGACTTTCTTATTTTTGTTTCTTTGTTTTAATTAGAGTCATTGCCAGTTACAGATTATGTTTATAACACCCAATCTCGAGAACAAGAAACCAAAAAATACAAGAGTAGCCCCAATTGTATTACTGTTGTAAAGTCTGCAAAAGAGATATTCTTATTTAATTTGCATACATATGCTTCTCAGCATGCAATGTGAATAAGGTGATTCTTGACAGAAGAAATTAAATGAGTCATGGTAACAACAGCTACACTATACAAGTAAAAGAGTAGCGGCCACACGAGCGTTATACAAAGTAAGACAGCATGTTGACAATGAGAATGAAATACCTTACTAAGCCCAACATCGACAAGTGTTCCCCCAGATGTTGAATTTCGATCCTTTAGTGTGACACCTAGAAACAGAAAAAAGATGTCCCAAGGCATCACCCATCCATCAAGAATGTCAAGTTGATATTCAGATCAACACACAACATGATCAACAAAAAGGATATAACATGACAACAGAAGCATTTGAGCAATTTTGGTATAAAAAATGGCTACACATAACAAGAAGGATAATTCAATTGACATAAAGAAAATCAGACATATTTGAACATGTAATGTGAGATCCGAATTGTCAAAAGGACCATTACATTTTAACTAGCCATCTATATAAATTTGTGTCCATTTAACATATAGGGCCAAACTTTTTTTAAGATCAGTAAGGATACTTGCAAAGTTAGAGCATCAGTAACATGAATTTTTCAACAGAACTTACCTGAAGTTCAGCGATCAAGTGTAAGCCATCATATGCAGCAAACTTTGCACCATAATCCATAAACCATATATTTTTTTTAAAACAAACCAGAAAAATGTTTGGTTTTGTAAGATTTTGATAGTCTTCTAGAAGTTTTGGATTTCAAATCTTATATTTAGGTAACTATACAAAACAATTACCACTACAACCTCAACCCCAAACCAGATAACTATTTTTTGGTCAAAATACATTATAACTAATACAGTATATAGGTGCAAAGTTATAGCATCAGTTAAGTAAATTTTCAACAGGACCTACCTGAAGTTCAGAGATCAAGTGTAAGCCATCATATGCAACAAACTTTGCACCATAACTATTTATTGTAAACTATTTATTGTATGTAACAAATACAGATATTTTTGAAGTATGAATCAAAGCCATAGAAGGATGCTTAAGTGGAAACAATCCAAATCCACCAATAACTTTATCAAATGCCATTGCAATAGACAGAGACAAGTACATGCACACAGTCATGCAAGCATCATTATTTACATAGAGGATTATATGCCAAAGGACAGGCCATCAGTTTCATGCATGATCATTTGAATATTCATCTTCATGTATGATCATACTCTTGCAAAGACCAACTAAATTAAGAAAAACAAAAAACAAAAAAATAGTATCAATATCATCTTTATCGCACCCTTGCTAAACCAATGGTGAAACTTATGTGTGCAGTGTGCCAGACCTCCCCCATGGAGGATGCTGGGAAATGGAAATCAAGATATTGAGATTCTGAGCTTTAAAAAGGATAGCAACATTGAATATAAGCTTTATTTTGCATTTCTCTCGTAGAAATCAAGAGTCTGAAGTTTTAGCACTTCAAGGAAAATTAAGGATGAGCTTATAAGGATAATAGTGAAATGCATTCATTATAGGAAATTTTAGTAAAAAAGATAGCAAGCAATTGAGTGCAAGATCCTTTTAGTTCTTTTTTGAAATGAGCTAGAGCGTGCCTGGCATGCAAATGATAAGTGTATTCTTTAGGATGCTACCTTCTCGATAGGGAGCCCATTCATGCTTCCGCAAATGATGTGGGGCATCAAGTGGTGGCAACGAACCCTGAAGACAACAGTACCTTTGAGATCAGAAATCACGAAATCGATTAAATTTAAGCCTGTTTAGTTTGGATAACTTTGCTGAACTGAATTAGTAAACCTCGTCAAAAAAGTGTTGTCTTTTTATCAGTAAAATAGTGTTAATCAGAACTGTTGTTGGTTTACTGTACAAAAATAAATCAAATAACTAAGTCTCTGAGCTTATAACTGAGCACCCGACTGGTACTGAATTAAATAAATCCACCTACACAATAGCCAATCTTTTTTAAGAAAGGCAAACATGTTATGTAGCACTAAGAAAGTACCAGAATATGTACAAGGGAGCAAATCACTAAAAAGGAAATGGGACTAGTTTTTTTAATAGCCAATCCAATCAAACTCTTAAGAGTTCACATTCCATCATAATTTCAAACAGCTATCCTCACCACATATCTTAAGTTGTTGTGCATGGGGAAAAGACTCTTCCGAAGATATTGAGGTGTCTCCATATATTTCAAAATCCTGAAAAGAAATGCAGCACCACTTTCATCATCATGTGACCCATCCTCCATCGTTGGATCTGAACAGTCCACTGAACTACCTATGTTGTCAAATACAACAACCTGTTCAAGAAAAAAACCTTCTAACTCATTTCTGCACTCAAAACAGCAATTTATAATCTCTTTTGACAACTGAAGCTGTTGGAGAGTTCGTATTGTATGCATGTGTTCAAACATATAAGTATAACGTCCACATACTGAAAGCAACACCAATCTCATACTAAAGGTTCACCCAACAAAATCAACACATGATCAAATGATTAGCTTGTAAATATGAGCACCTCATCTATCCGAAAAATGGTGGAAGCACGAGCAATCTGGCCAGCCAACTGCCCAAATAAGAAAAGAGAGATAATAAGTAATAATAAGATGAGTAAAACAATAAAAAATGACCTGAATAATAAACACCCATAATTGTACATATAATAAGTAATCTATGACCCAAGGGTGTGTCTTTGTGGTCCACTAAAGAGGGTCAAGAACTCTAAGGTCTCAGGTTCAACTCCAAGCAAAGACAAAAGCCTTGGGTGATTTATTTCCATGACATACCTCTAGTTACTAGCTGGAGGTGTCAGATATCCCATATATTAGTCTGCAGGCAAGCTAGCCCAGACACAACAGGTTATCTAAGAAAAAAAATAACCTATGCATTTATCAGTTGTAACTTGCTGTGACTTGGCATTGGTCATCCTCAAAACCGGATAAAGGAGGTGGTATGCAGCACTAGAACTAGTAAAATGGCTGGAATTCAATGCATAGGGATGTGATCATCTGGAACGGTCCAAATAGGGTGGAATAGCTACAAATTAAGATAAATCCCATAACAGTAAATGTGGTGTGAGTTGTGACAAGTTATGAAACAACAGTGGAATGGATAAGTATGATTCATATAACGTATAAGAACTAGTCTGGGATGGAAGCACAGTTGTTATTGTGAGCACTAAACATTTCAAAGAAACACAATGAGAAAGAGCAGTATAATGAAAGTTACCCGTGTTGCGAGTTCGAGTGACTGAGTGTTGTCAATGATAGATCCCGCGAGTGCTATGGAAACCGTGGGTTTTTCCTTTAACACACTTTCTTCCTTCACCTCTTTGGTTTTCTTCTTCTTTATCTTCTTCGAATCCCCATTCACGAGATGAAGATCATTTTGCTCATTGATGGTCTCTGTATTCAGGAGTTCCGATTCTGCTTCTCGTTCGGCTCTCTTCTTCTTCTTCCCCATTTCTGTAGGAAGAGAGGGTTTAGGGTTTTAGACGAACGGCTGCAATTTATGTTACCACCAAAAGAAATTAAATTACAACTTGTCTTAAAATAGGTGTTTGCTCATATCCTCATATGAAATTCGTGAAATAAAATAAACATTTGGACATATAATCTCAAGCTGATTTCATCGTATGATTAGATGAAATTTCATATTCTCTAAAAAAAAAAATTATAATTTGAAAATTTCATTTTATGATTTGAGATTTTTAAATAAAAAATTGATCTTACAAATTTATATTTTATTAAAATAATTTGATATTTATATTTATTAGTCATTTGTTTCAAATGTAAATAAAATTGTTAATTATATCATTACTTTTTAAAATTATTATTCTTATCAACATAAAATTTATTATTATTTTAAATCAATTCCTACTTTATCATTTATATTCGTCAAATTCATCATTTTATATCAAATTTATTTATGAACCAAATTTATTACTACTACTTTAATGTTTAATAAAAAAAAATATTTTTCATCTATATTGAGTGAACAAGACTGACCACAATGACTTACTAATAATTTATTATGTGATTTTATAAATTTTTGTTATTTGGTAAGATTGAATAAATTATTGAAACTATTTTAATAGTTTAACAACTTATTAGATTCTTGTGTTTATGAGAAAATATACAACACAAAAATTTCATATCTCATGTTCCATGTGATGATTTCATATCGCACGACCAAACGAGCCTTTAGTCCCTGAGCTATTCCAGTTTTGATATTATTTTATTCAGTTTATTTAACCTTCAATTAATATAAATGCGTACATTTAACCTTCCATTAAGTTTAATAGGTTTAAAGACTAAAAAAATGACACATCCAAGTTAATTAAAAGGCTAAATATACGTAACTCAGAAAAATCAAATTTAAAATAATGTCATAACTCGATAATACATATCCAATGAAATTCCATGAATGGAGTATACCCAGACCTCACCCTATTTTGTTTACGAAAAACACTCGACTCGATAAGTAACGTCATAACTCAAGAACCAAAATATCCATCTTCCAATGAAAATTGTAGACATTACGAAGTTGTTTGATACATAAGATAAAAGGATAATAATCTCTTAAATTTTCTTAATCAACTTTATCCCATAATTGGTTTTGAGGTATTAGATGATCCCGAAATTATTTCATCTCACCTTGCTTATCTCATCCTACCTACCAAAACAAACTCCTGTGATAATTTTAATAAGTCGGACATCTAATCATAAAAAATTTTAAAAGGTATTTCTGTTTTCATAGTTATTATGATAATTTGACAATTGTTCAATGTTTGCTTCTCACTCTACACATTTGACCCTGAAACTACTCTTTCAAGTTGTACAGAATCTGCAAACTGGCATTTGGATTCAAAAACATTCATATTTCATCTTTCTATCTGATCGAAATAAACAAGGATCACCATTGTTGAAGTTTGAGAATGTACAGACTACAGATCTGAGAATTACATGAATATTAACACAAGGTCAGATCGGGGGGAAAAAAATCAGAAACCTAATCTTCAATATATATTTTTTCATTTTTTTAAAAAGATAACTCAACCATATATTTATCACTGTAAAATACTAGAGATATGAAGTAAATCCTATGAATCAAGTTTACAAGAAAGAATTCTATGGGCGTTTTCGAAATCTAAGAAAATTATTGAAGTGTTGTCTTTTGTACGCAATGTTCTGGCCTCGCTCAGCAAAGAATTTGCTATTTTCTCTGCAGAAATTTCTTCCTCTGTTGAGATTCTCTCCTTTGCCTGCAATTATTGAACATCGGTTAAGCTATAAATTTGATAAGAACATTATATACAGGAACCACCAAAATGCTTTATATACCTGTTGGACTAGTTGAATTGCCTTCTTAACATTAATAACATCCCAGAATCCATCACTGGAAGAACAAAGTTAAAGCAAGTTTTAAGCCAAACGACGTCAAGCATAGCAGAACAGCAAATGACAAGAAAGTAACATATACTCCACCTATCACCTCCCACCAGTATTCTGTCCACCAAAGCTAGGACAATGGGTAGAAAACACCTAGTGTTTACCTAGTGTTTATTTGTCATCGCTAGGATTTGAACCTGAATACTCATGGTTCTTAGCCACCTCATTGACCACTAGGTGACAACCACGGGTGCAACTCCTCTATGATTTCTACAATGGGTATACTGAATATTGGGCCAAACTGGATAAAAAACGGAAACCAAATTTATTTACAGTATCTACGGTATATGCAAGACTACTACTTGGAATATGCTGTAGGTATCCAAGTAAGGGTGTGAGTATCTGATTTAGGTATGTGCAGTTTCTTTTACTATTCTTTGACATGTTTTGAAGAATCCGGAAGAAATGTACTTAAAAATGTCCTATCCCATTTGACACAATCATGTCATGGCAAACCATATAAAATAGATAACATGATGAAGGAAAACCTAGTGGACAGTTTATTTTTTTTCTTTAATTTCAGTAGAGGGTGGATGGGGAGATGAGAAGGAAAATCAGATCAAAGGGAGAACGGAACAGATCAGTCGCAATACATGAGATGATGTCAAATTACCTAGCTAACAGTGCGAATCCTTTGCTAGCTTGATGTATGTACACAACTTGACTAATATAAGGTTCTGAACTGAAGCGAACATCTTGCTGTTTAAGAAATTTGTCTCCGAGCATACGAGCAAGGTTTAAACCTAGTTAAGAGCAAGCAAATCAGTTGATTGTTGAATTAATATACAGCGGATACAAGCACAACAGAAACAAAAGATTCTACTCACCACATAGTCTCGTTTCCCCATCTTTTAAAGGCTCCCCTGTTGCTTGGATACGCAGCCTTTCAGAGTGACTAGTTATTCTGTGATCTTCAGTCATTTTTGTCTGCTTCCCGTCAATACTGACTCAAACAAAAACAGAACAAAGAGTTTAAGCCAAGTTATAATACATTTCTCCAAAATCCTCCACCTTCCGTGGAATGAGTTGACAAGGTATGGCAACAAGAGAACTTGTAGCACATATAACATATCACTACGGCCTAGTACCTACAAATATGTACTAGAAATATGTAACTATCAATCAACCAAATACTAATCCTAAACTAGTAGGATCAGCCATATAATTTCTAGTCATCCGTGCGGCTTATTTGAACCTATTTTTTTTAACACTAAATCTGTTTTATAAGGTAAAGAGTGGTTCTCTAAAGGTAAAGATTCTCTAAACTAACAATGTCTTCGATAATAATGTTGCTTGCGCCAATTTTCTTTACACGTCTACTTAAACCAATATAGATATCAGGTAGCTATACCCACCAAAACATAGACAGATGGGGGAAAGTCAACTAGTTTTATAAAAAATTAAATTGAAAAGGTAGTTTTACATATATTTCCTTTGTTGGGATTCAAACTCTGATCTCCCATGGTCTTCCTTCCAGCTGTATTGACAAAAGTCCCAAATTGGTGATTAATGAGATAGGTGGACTCCTTATAAGGCTTGGACAATCCTCCTCCCTTTGAGCTATCTTACCCAATGTTGGGGCCCCAGAAATCAAAAATGCTTAAGCACCAGATGCTAAGCAATGGGCTTGAGGAGGGGTGTCAAAGAATGACAACAGTCTCACATTGGTGGTTAATGAGATGGGTGGACTCCTCATAAGGCTTGAGCAATCCTCCTCCCTTTGAGCTAGCTATTGAGAAGCGAGTTAACCTAAGATCTAATTTAATACTAAGTTAACATAAGTGTCAAAACAGTAAAAATTCTCATGAGAAAAGTGGATTCCATGCAAGAAACAAATAAATCTTAATCCTAATTAGCTAGTACTGGTATGTGTAGATTCTTTGTTTAAATTGTGTAGTTTTCTTGCACTTTAATGTTCATATAAGGCATGGTGAAACCATTTACCCATACTATTCCTATTTAATCCTCTATGCATGTTGTGTACACCTTTTGACAGATGAGATCATCTAATCTTGTATGATTGTACGCCCATTTTCACACCCGCATTTTTATGACAATCATTTGATGAATATGTTGGGCTATAAAGGCCCAATATCTACACTTATATTTTGGTCTGACAACAATTTATGAAGAAATTTTGCAAACAACATATTCCAATCATAAGACCAAGTTAGAACTACAAGATATTAACAAAAAAATGGTTTATGTTCTCGTAACATTGCAAACTATTAAAGCTCAATCTCAAAATATAAAGATACATCTTAATTTTACCAATAACATGTTGGGAGCATACTTCACCACCTATAGATAATTGTTATTTTCTTGATGAAAAAAAGTTACATCATACCAATTCAAGGCATAAATCTTGAAAATTGGATATAATAATTTGAAGTTCTAGTCATCTGAACAGAGTAATTGAGGAGACAAAACTATGACAACTATAGAAAATAGTCCAAATGACTTCCTTAGCAATTGAACATAGATGCACAATCCCGACCTAAGACTGTATTTGCACAATTACTTTATCTGTGGACCAGTGTATCTTTATTTTTAATGACAGTGTTCAATTACATACATCTTCAACTAATTGTGGGGCAACCAAATAGTAAATCTGCACATGGAAGATGGGGGCATGGAGCAGATGAGCTCACACTCACATTGAATGCTGTAGCTGGGATTCGAATATGCAATCTCCAGGTTGTTATTCCTAAGTCTCAACCACTCGGATTCAGTCTCCCGACCCCACCCCAATACTAACCAACCAATATATCTTAGAATTGGACTAGAATATTAATAAAAGATTATACTAACTTGAGAAAATACGTAAAAAGAAACCCTGGACTTGGCAACAAAACTTACTTTAGCACTTAAACTACAAGGGTGTTTATTTACCCCCCTAATTTCATTTCATGTGAACTTAATACCACCTTAACATATGACGTGGCAAAAAAAGAAAAGCAAAAAAACTAAAGCCGCGTAAATTTTTTTCTTTTTGAAAAAAATAAGGGTCCCACTAGCATTATATATATATAATGAGAAAAAAAAAAGAGAACGCCCACCTACCATTCTTCTTCTTCTTCAAACCCCTCC